ATCACTACCATCGGCAGTCTGATCTCACGCCAAAAATCCTCATGAAAATCATAACAAAGTAAATCCACCATCATCAACCCCACCCGGCACCCAAGAAAACGTTCCAGCACTGTCCCAGAAAAGGGCCATGACAGAGGGGCGGTACAAAGCCAGTCTCCCCTAAGCAATCAGTTGAGGCAAGCATAAAGCACCCCCCTTGCACCGTAATAGCCAACCCGGGACACCTCTAGGGCAATATCCTTATAGGTATCCCAACCTATGTAGAGCCAACCATGTCCACCTCTTCTTCATGTTCCTCCGCATCCTCAAACTCTTGGGTAGCTGGGCGGGGGCGAGTAGGGCAAACAGATGAGTGGGATTCATGTGGGCCATCACAGTTCACACACCTGGGCGTAGTATGACTGCAGGGATGGCCTCGAAGACAACAGGTAGCGGGGGGGCAGGAGTGATCCACAGTAGAGTGAGGGAGGAGGCACCAGCGGCAGGAGGCAGGTAGGATGCATTTGATGCTGTAGTGGGCAAACTTGTGACAGTTTGCACACTGGGTGTATTTGTTGAAGCGTAAACAGTGCTCGGTACGGTAGGTATTAGAGAAGGCTGAGAGGCGTTTGCCAATGAAAGAGGGAGCCTTGGGTCCAGTGATGGAAATAACCACGGTCGAGGCGAGTTTGCCGATGCGTGCTAAATGAGAGGTAAGCCACCTAGGCTGTTTAGTAAGAGACAAGCCTGAGTTGAATGTAGTGAGTTCTTGGGCAAGAGATGCCAGAGAGGTAGAGGTAGCAATGCCATGTACCAGAAGCTGGGTGGCAGGACTGTCGAGGTGGACGGTAGAGGCACCAGGAATAAGGTGCAAAAAGGTTCCAACTTTGCTGTTTACAGTTGTTGCTCTACCCGTGTCCATGGTAGTGAGGGTAACATATCCATCCCGAAAGGAGACAGACTGGATGAGAGTAGAGGCCAAGGCCTGGTTGATGCTGTCGCGTAGCTGCACAGCAGTAGTGGTAAGGGAGGCAGCGTCTCGTTTGATGATAAGCCGATGCTCGCGCATGGTAAGGCCCTTATTCTTGTTGGTAGGGGGCTTGACCGAGGGAGAGGAGGGTTTGGCCGGCTTGGGGCCAGGCTTTGTCGGTTTCTGAGAAGGCTTCCTTGCCCTCCTAGTGACGGTAGCCCAAGAAGGGGGAGCCGCTGGGCCAGGAGGTTGGGCATGGGGAAGGGTAGAAGATGGAGGAGGGACAGAGGGTTGCTCTGTGGTGGTCGTGGTAGGAGGTGCCGATGGGGCAGTAGTAGGATCAGGCTGAGATAGAGTGGAGGCGCGAAGGTCCTCCAACTCCTCGGTATGGGCAGTGATGTCCTCGGTTAGCCCATCGGTCGCCTTCCTGTAGTCTCATGCAAAATTTGCATCATGTGGAGTATAACGGGAAAGGCTTTTCCAAAGCTGAGAGGTGCTTCAATCCCGGCTTCCAGTGCCAAATCATCAAACATCTTCAAGAAGATGCTATTAGGACCTTCATAGGCGTCTGGTACTTGTATAGTTGAGGTAGTGCCACTGCGTGGGCGTTTAAGCAAGGGGGGGCCCTGAGCCCGAAAGATAGGTGATAGGCGACCCTGCCCACAAAACTGTGAGGCCCTGTCAGGCTGTGTAGGAGGTTGCAGAACGAGAGGGGGTGAAGACCCCATGATGGAGGTGATGAAAGGAAACTTTGACCCCGGTCGGGCCAAAGAAAGGTATCGTGGTGGATAAGATCATTCCCTGGAACGTAAGAAAGGGTGTCCAAAGGAGATTACCAGATTGCGTAAAGAACGAAAAATATAAAGAGGCACACCTCTTTATATACTAAAGAAATCCTCCATGATTACCAATACAAAAAGAAGTCCTTAGCGTCGCGCGCAGCTACAATTCCTCCATCTGGTTCCCCCATCTTCCGTTCCATGGCAACGTGTCCCATTCGCCTATACAATTGAAATCCCACTATGCAACCAAGAAACCACATCCCATATATGCAACCAAAAACCCATCCATATTCCATCTCCATAGCCGGGTGGCCGTGACAGAAATGTCTACCTGACACTCATATTGGTGGAGCTATAGCCTATTATGAAAGTTGTCTTTACCCACGGGGAGTTTTGGCAAAGTTTTAGCGGAGTCCTTAGTTTGACGCCATATTCATCAAGTGCCCTTTGCATGCAGCATCTGATACTCAGCGGTTTGATTCTACTCAACACCAGGTTTCTAGTAGTACCTTGGACATCTATCCGGGGCCACTATTCGTACAGCTTCAGCTTATTATGTAAGTCATCTTTACAATGGCAGGGTTCTGGCAGGGTGCTGATTTTGATATCAGATTCCTTGGGGGTCCTTTGGGCCCAGCATCTGATGCTCGGTGGCCTGATTCAGCTTGATGCCAGCTTTTTAATGGTACACAGGATGTCTACCCAGCACCAAGATGGGTGGAGATACAGGTTGTTATGAATGTGGTCTTCACCTTGGCGGAGTTCTAGTAGAGTTTTGGGAGAGTGCTGGCTTTGATACCAGATTCCTTAGGCATCCTTTGGGTACAGCATGCGAGACTCCGTGGCCTAGTTTTACTTAATGCCTGCTTTCTAACATTTCCTACTAGGAGGATGTCTACCTGGCGCCAATACTAGTGCAGCCACACCTTGTTATGAAACTGGACTTTACCTGGGAGAGATTCTGCCGCGGTGCTGACTTTGATCTCAGATTCCTCAGGCATCCTTTGGGTGTAGTATCTGATGCTTGGCGGCCTGATTCCACTTGACACCACCTTTCTAACAGTACCCCAGGTGTGTACCTGGCACCCATATTGGTGTGGGTACAGCTTGTGATGAAAATGGTCTTTACTCTGGCAGAGTTCTGGCCGGGTGCTGATTGTGATACCAGATTCCTCATGGGTCCTTAGGGTATAGCATCAGATGCGTAGCAGCCTGATTCTCCTTGACACCATCTTTCCAATAGTACTCAGGATATTTACCTGGCGCCACCGTTCGTAGACCTACAGCCTCTTATGAAAGTGATCTTTTCACCTGCGAGAGTTCTGGCGGATTGCTGATTTTCATGCCAGATTCCTCGCATGCCTTTTGGGCACAGCATCTGAGACTCAGCGGCCCGATTCTACTCGATGCCAGCCTTCCAGCTGTATCTAAGATATCTACCTGGAGTCAATATTGGTGTAGCTACAGCCAGTTATGAAAGTGGTCTTTACCTTGGCAGAGTTCTGACGGAGTGCTCATCTTCAGGGCAGATTCCTCAGAGGCCCTGTGTGCACAGCATGCCATGCTCAGCAGCCTGATTCTACTTGATGGTGTTAGGGGGTAGGTAACTCTAAAGTCAAGTGAGTGTACACTAGGCCCTGTAATCTTCTGTCTCGCAGATAGTCAAGACGGCTTGTAAAGATAGAAATAAAGTAAACAAATATAGTGATAAGATCTCTTCTCCAGTCGCTGATGATAGACATAAAGGTAGGGATGCAGCTCGATATTTATATTCCATGTCTGGGTGGTCGCAACCTATGTCCAATCCCTTACTGACTATGTACCTGCCATACTAACAATTCAGTGTCCTTGAAGTAGGAACTCCAGTTGACCCTGAAAACTAACTTCTCCACTCACTTCCTAAGTGGAGTGATCAGCTCCGTCGAAGGACCTATCAATTACTCTTCATAGCTTAGAGTACATGACGAAGATAACTAACTTGACCAATGAGTTGTTATTAACCAATCATGAACAAGTCCTCCAGATGGCTCTTGTTTGCATGAGCTGTAGGGGCACGTGTATTACTTCTTATAATAGCGTATAGACTTGCAGCGGTTGTAGCTCCATAACTAAGTGACCAATCTGAACCAACTAAGTCTTATCTTATAGATCGGAGCTCCTTCTATGTTATCTAGTAAAAGCTCCTTGGTCACATACCTCTTATGTCCATGGAGCAGGCTTCATATATGCCTTATCATTCCGTACCATAATATGCTATCGTCACAATAACTACAGCATGGCCTGGAGTCAAACACGTGACCTTATGTATTTAGTTATGTGCCATGCTGATTACTCTTCAATGTGTAACAGACCACAGCTTTGGAATAGTATCTATGACGTCTACCCGGCGCCAATATTGGCAGAGCTACAATCTGTTATGAAAGTGATCTTTACCCTGACGGAGTTCTGGCAGATTACTGACCTTGATGCCAGATTCCTTAGGCATCCTTTGGACGCAGCATCTGAGACTCAGCGGCCTGATTCTACTCGATACGAGCTTTCCAACAGTTTTCAAGAAGTCTACCCAGTACCAATATTGGTGGAGCTACAGCCTGTTATGCAAGTAATCTTTACCCTGGTAGAGTTCTGGAAGAGTGCTGACTTTGATATCAACTGCCTCAGGTATGCTTTATACATAGCATCTGAAACTCCTTGGCCCAATTCTACTCGATGCCAACCTCCAATAGTACCAAGAAGGTCTACCTGGCGCCAATACTGGGGGAGATACAGCCTGCTATGACAGTCATGTTTACTTGAGTAAAGTGCTAACTTTGTTGCTAGATTTCTCATGCACCCTGGTTGTACCTGACACTGGCTTTCCAAAAGCTGGATTGAACATTTATCTAGTGCCAATACCCACTGGCATTATGTTATTATCTGGAATGAAGGGGCAATAGAGTACCTACTTATCCCTGGGGGCTTAAAAAAGCTTTTCTTTCAGTACTTTGTCTTATAGAACCAATATCAATACAACTAATCTTTATTTTGACACTTTCACAATATGCATGATATGTGACTCACATCACAAGGTCTAGTCCTTATATTGCATTCTGAAAATTTAGAAGCACTTACTCGTATCCAGAGAATGGCTGCCTTATCAGGTTGCATACTGAGAATTTAGAGTGTGCTTGGTTGCGTTCAGAGAATTCCAAGAATACTCAGCTTCATCCCAACGTGGGCACTAAGGACCATTGCATCCTGAGTTGCAGTTTGCCTCCTGTGCATCCTGTACATCAGCCACATAGGACACCTAGGACACAAGCTTGTATTTTTGGCGATGTATTGATACAGAATTGGCATAAAATTTTCCTGAGAGACTTACATGCAATTAATGCAGATGGGAAATAAAAGGTCGTTACTTATATGAATTAATAATAAATAAAAGTTACAAAATTTCAGAGCCAAATGGTATAGGATATAGTTCTAGTTTCATACAGGGCTGTGCATTACATCTTACATTAAGATAATTTGTATCATGCCCAACATCCTGCCAATTCACTTTTACCAAAAAACAAACATTGAAAGAATTCCATAAAAATGAAATACCACTGTATTTATGGCATGGCAAACAGGGCCTTAATCTCTTTTCATTTGGTGAATGCTTTACCTGAGTTATCACAATTTGTTTACTCTATGTTTGCAGTTGCGGTCATTATTGAAATATGCGATCGCCAAGACTTGCCGTGCATTAGAATCTTGGGCTCTACCCTTGTGTGCACGTTAGGACCACCTAAAACAAGAAATTCCCAACGTCACACCTAACTTATTCTATTGCTCTGGCTTCACGGGATTATCCCACCGCTGCTGATCTCACCCCGTGCCGCGCCGAAATCATCTACCGGAATACATTCCCCTCCAAAATGACCGAGCCAGAAACTGGACAACAATGGGCGGTGCCATCCCGAGCTGAGCTATGCGCGAAGGCTATGGGAGAAATGGACAAGGAGGGTGACACGCCCATAGCTCAAGTCACCCAAGAATCCGCTGAGGCTCTCGGAAAGGCCATGCAAGACCTCAGTGTCAAACAGGCTGCTACCCAAAAATCAGGTGTCCCCCCATCCAGTCGTGTCAACGCCGCGGACATTACTCTTATTATGGAAGAGATGGAGGTACTGAGTCTGCGTTGTTGCTCGTATGATGTTTTCATGCTTATCATTCGCTGGAACAAGTACTAGGTTTCAAAAGCAAAGGCGACAGACGTTTTACGCGGTTGTGGCGGAAATACCACCGAAGCTTTAAGAAGGCTCTTGCGCCTATGTTAGGGCCCGGATCTTCGTTTTATTTATGAGAACTCAAATCTTGTATTAAAGCCAAATTTAGTAAGGGAAGTTCTTTAGCAAAGAGAAACTAGTATTACAATTGAGATATCCACCATTCATTCACCCCCGCAGATACGTTTTCAAGGATCTCCAAATATAATTACAATGCCTTAATACATTCTATGACCGAGTCAAAAGCTCTGTCACCGAAGTCATTTCCGCCCCGCAGAACCCAAGCCAAATCACTCTGCATTCCTAGTGGAATATAAGTCCCTACCCGCGCAGCCTCCAAACTATCCGTAAGTCGTGAGGTGTGCTCAAAGCTACGAGCTGCATCCTCTGCTCTATCAATTATCCGTTTATTGATACCACACATGGCAGCGCAATGCTATGATTTAAACCGTTAGTAAGGCCCAAAGGTTAAACAGGGTTAGGCAAACCATTCCAAATGAACCCTCCGCAACCCCTGCCTCTAACTTGTAGAGGAAAGTGATATCCCGATTCTCTTCATCGACATGAATCTGCATCCTCTTAGGTTGAATTTCAGGATGCCCAACAAACTCGCTGGCCAATGAATGATAGTGGGTTGCGAAAAATCCAAGGCAACCAATGTGGGTCGCAACATGATGCAAAACGGCCTGTGCTACAGCCACACCATCGTACGAAGATGTCCCACGGCCTAGCTCATCCAATATTACCAAGGAATGAGGGGTAGCCTCGGCAAGTATTTTTTTTGTCTCTGACAGTTCGACTAAAAATGTACTCTGTGCAGCAAAAATATTGTCATTTGCTCCTAGTCGGCTCATTATGCGATCCACCGGTGTCAGTCGTGCTGATTTCGATGGGACGAAGCACCCAATTTGAGCCATAATAACACCCACGCATGTCTCAACGATTAGTTAGTAATCATTCACCCATCGAATCACATAGGCCGTCCAGGCTTACCATCCGAAGTACCGTCGACTTTCCAGCTGCGTTAGCCCCAGTAAGCAGGCCTAACTTGGGCGAATCTCCACCAAGTCGAATATCATTTGGTATAAAATCATCCACGCTGCAGTTTCTGTCAGATTTTCACCTCCTTGAAAGCTTGATGGGGTTCTATCACACCTAGACGCCATGCAAGGATGTCGCAGCCCGGTAAAATCTAACATGCTTCTCTGGCCCTCCACGAATGTCGGCCGGCAACTAGTCTCACCAAGCGAGATGGACGACCTAGCAAGGCTTATTAGACAATCCAAACTCGAAACAATCTTTACCGCGCCCAGCCAGGTCTGGTAGTCCCTATCGAATCTTTTGTAGAAACGCCCGGCAACTTCCTTGACAATTTGGCTATGGGTTTCCTGTGCTTCCTGTAGCGAGCGAACAAGCCTTTTGACCTCCGGCGAGTAGAAACGTTTGACTTTCTAACAAAAAATTTAGCAGCGCGTTCAATCATAAACCAAAGGCAAATATTGACTACCTGTGTGCCAGACATCTGAGTCCAGCTTCTTGGAATATTCTTCGCAAACTTCACTGGCACTTCAATCAAGTAAATTTCTTTTCCACTATCCGTATATTTAACCTCTCTAGACCTAGGAAAGTCAGTGTATAACAACCAGGGGCCAAAGGTAAGCATCATACTTCAAGTTCGATTTGTATTCACCAAGGAGCGTCTCCAGTTGAACATTGATGATATCTTCAATAACATCCTGGGAGGCATCGAAATCGAGCTCCACACCACGCTCAGGCACGAGCAAACCTGAGGAGCACAGACTTAGTACTTTAACTGGCCAGGCGAGCAAATTCAGATCCGGGTTCCTACCTTGTGTTCTCGCCTTCTCACGGTCAAACGCAGATTCCCATAGCCTCAAGCATTCTTTTAGATCAGGCATCGACGCAAGGAGTTGACCAATCAAACCACCCTTATTGTAAAGAGTGATCTCGTCCATTGCGTCACGTATTTGTTCAAACCCTTCAATCACGCGGAGAAAATCAGCCACTCGTGAGCTCCCAGCATGGATACGCGAGATGAGACGTTCCAAATCCGGCATTTTATTCAAGTGGGTCGCAAAGGCCTCCTGAAAACCATTATTAGAGTTGAGAGATTCGACAGCATCTAATCTCGAGTTAATTTTAGCAGAATCAGCCAACGGGTGGCACACCCATTGTTTGAACTTTCGCTTGCCTATCAAATATGTTAACTCTTGCCAACAGAAGGGTGTTTTTGAACCTACCGAAAGGTGTAATACAGCGATTCAGTAGAGAAAACAGTGTCCCCGCCGAGCCGCCATCCGAAGAATTCGCAAAGATCTACCACAATTAGTTGGAGGCCACCAACCGGTTATCAAGATTCTAACCTCAAGGTTTAATAGGGTCTGCCCATCGAGAATCAAGGATGACGCTTTATTTATCGGGTCATAAACCCGGAAGTTTCCCAAACTCACCAATTCACGATCAATTTTAAGCTGTACATGTCAGAGTACCCATGAAATTGCATGTTCAGCAAGAGGGATGATTACCGTTTGTAGGTAGCAGAGTAAAGCACCAAAGGCTGACATTGCTAATTCTTTTTCCCTTGCTTGTTCTAGAGCCTGCGGCCAGCCTTTTCTGTCCCACGATGAACTCTCGTCGAAATAACCCTTACTCATCACCTCCCGAATGGTTGTTGACCCTTCCCAGAACTCAACCCCGGGTTTTAGTTTGTTCCAGATAGTGGTCACAGAAGTGTTATTCTTCAGGAGGCGTGTCGATTGCGAAGAAAGGAAACCCTACATATTATCAGCCGTGCCCAATCACTGATTCGTGAAACTCTCAAAAAATGCTGGCCACCTTCTCGAGTATCAGCTCTCTTGGACGAATTTGAGCGAGAAATGTTTCGAATTTAGTGAGCTCCAAGTCATCTTGGAACTCCGAGAGAGAGAATTCTCCGGTGGCGGTGTCGACAAAAGCTATGCCAAAAGACGGTTCCCCCCCATCAAATGATTCCTAATAGAGAATTGGTCAGAGTCAGTGGCCGTACTAACTCAGAACGCGGATAATCCAGGATTGAACCTTTATTGCCACACAATATGTCGCCATCTCGTCTTGCAGCATACTCTCGTCAACAAGTGTTCCACCCGTCAAAACACAAGCAAGCTCGCGGCGAATTATTTTCTCTTCTTTTCCTGATTTACCACTCTTTTCTCGCATTTCTTTACCCAAAGCAGTCTCTTTCTGGTCAACCCGAGCAATTTTGTATCTAATTGATCATCAGCCAAAACACCAACTTAGGCGTTGCATTATGCTCAACACATACCCCTTCGCGATGAACTGAGCCGCCCACATATCCAGTGAAGATTCCGGGACACCGACCATTCTAAGCTCCTGTTAGCTATCGCTAGTTCAACCTACTGCACATAATACACCAACATTACCTCATATTCACTCGATCAGTTAATTTCAGATCGAACTCCCTGTGACCAATTGCTATTACCCTATTAGTTCTCCAAGCCGAAACCGAAGGGGCATACGCAGAACGTACTGGCATCGTCCTCGTAAAGTTCGTAGAATTTTCCCTAAAAATCTCAATTTCCGAAGTCCGACCAGGTCACGAAGCCTTACCTTCTTGAAAAACACAACAGTATCATAAAGCTTGCATTTTATCTCCCAATACTGCTTCTCAAATGGAGAGAACTTTATCCACGCGCTCGACGGCACGAACAAGGTTCGGGGGTCATAGTCGGGGTGATCGGCTACAAACTAATTAGTCAAGCGGCAAAAAGGAAAGCCTCCCATGGACAACATACGTGGATTTCCATCGGCATCCTTAATATCAACGAGCCAAAAGTACCGGACCTCGTCTCTGTCTTGCTTTCTCGTAGGTGTCGGCGCCGGTTTTGGCCGCGGGGTCACCCCCGATGATACTTGAGTAGAATTACCGCTCTTGGGATTGAATGCAAAGCGTGATGTATTTACTGGGGTTCTTACAGCGGAGGATGGTGTCCTATGGGAATCATTGCTCGATTTCTTGAGCTTCTTCGAATCCCTAGATCTACAAGGTGTCTTCGCAAGAGCGCGGTCATAGACGACGAAGTCGTCACTCTCGACGCCGGCTTTTCGTATCAGCATTGAGCAACGCCATTGACGCCTGCCTCTGTAGGACTAGACTGGGCTCACCATCATCCTCTCCCTCCTCTTCGCCCTGGATAAGGTTATCTTGCGGAAGGTATTCGAGATCATCGTCACCGTCACCATCTGGGATTGCACGTTTGACACCTAAGCGATAGTGAGCGCAGGGTGCCTCGCAAAGCTATAGCTCCCACTCACCTCTCTTAAGGACCGGCACATCAGCGTCGTCCTCATCACTCAATTCAGTATAGCTGACGCGGTTCGAGATTGCCTATGAGGGGATTAGTGTCACAATATTCATCTGAGGAAAGATATTCCTTACTCTGATTGACGGGCTCGAGGGCGGGACTAGGAGAATGTCTGACAGAACCCGAGCCCAGTTAGTTGTGGGAGCACATTGAGAATTGAAATAGCAAACCTCGTCGTCTACTTTGTATGTTCGTCGGGTCACCCTCTTGGTTAGAAGGTGAGGACGGTCCGAGTGGGTCACTAGACAAATCTGGCGGATTACCGTCCCTCTTAATATTGGTAGGGGAATCGGCGGCCTTCGTGAAAAAAGATAGGAGAGATTGTTGTTTCTGAACAGATCCTGGCGTCCGAGAGCTCTTTGTGGCGAGCGGCGACTTTTGGTTAGGCCTGGGGGGCTTTTGCGGATTTGAGTGAGACATCACTAATTCGTGAATGGTGATGAGCCGTATGCTAGGATTTGTGTTGTCCGAAGGATGTGGAGAAACAAAGTACAAGAAGTGCTGAGCCGGACGTCGTTGCCGCCTCTGGAGGTGCGGTTAAGAAATGGCAGGGGGGACGCGTTGCGGTAAGCCTTAGCGCGTCAGCAAACAAGGATTGCCCAAGAGCAGAAAATCTGTTGCCATGGACTAATCGTGCCAAGGTTCCCGCCGGTTGTATTCCTTCGACCGTTTTCAAACACGGGCATGATTTGATCTCCCATCATGATTTGAAATCGGGTGGTGTTGGGCGTGCCGATTTTGTATTCTGATCTCACATATGATTCTGATTTGAAATTTATGTACTTGATTTGGGGTTATTATATTGAATAATAATTCCTTTACTAATAGGTGAGGGTAAAATAATGGCTTGTAACAGTTAACAGAAGAGGTATTGGGTTTAACATATAAATATTGTAAATTCACAAATATATACAGCGAAAAGTTACAAATATTAAAGAGAACTTGAATCTGCTATCACTTTGATTCCAATTATATTATTATATCTTATATACATCATAATTGACCAAATACATGGATTTTTTAAAACTAATAATTATACTAGTTACAAGAGTTGGGGTCTAATTAAAATCAAATCAGGTACTAGTAGTGTTTGGCATGTCCTGATCCCAAATCAGGATTTCAAGTCAACCTGATTTGGTTTTAAAGAATCTGATTGCAAATTGCCAAGACCTGATCTCAAATCAAAATAAGTGCTAGGCCAAACACTCCTTAAAGTTCATAAGGGCCTGTTTGGATGAAATGGATCCATTCCGTTGGCCCATACAAATGACCATTTCCTTCCTTTTCGAAGAGGTTGTTGTCAAAAGGCTGTTTGGCACACCCACTATCAACCTTTCCGTTTCTATGGTTGACTGTTAGCAACAGCCTTTTCCACCAGTCAAACCACCTCACAACGGAATGGTTGTCACTTCTTCCTTTTTTACCAAACAGGCCCTAAGAATCATGGTAACCATAATGTAAGAACTGGTAGCAGATAATTTGACTGTTGTATAGCTAAATAATAAAATGTCTCTAAGCTTGCATTACCAATACTACAGTCCCGACAATGAATCAGGAAAATAAAAACAATATCAATATTAAGGATGTGATAGAGTTTTGGGAACAACGGTGAGAGTTAGGTAAATGGTAAGTTGGAGAAATTGTAGAACATAAAGAATAAGGTGACTATTATAAAGAAGAAGAGGGAAAATCCGCTGAGTTTAAAGTCAATATGAAGATAGATTAATATAAACTATAATAATACTTTAATCTTTTGCCTGTACTAGTCTTTTAACCTTACAAACATGTACAGCTATAGCAAAATTGTATTCTCCATATACTGCAAACTCTTAGTAGCTGCTACAACCTAATTCATAATTCAGATCTGCAACCTCCACATCCACTTTATTTTTTACAGCTTACTTTTGACATGAACATGATCAAACAACTTGCATGACATATGAATAATTATGTATATATCGATATAGTACTAGAATGTTAGTTTTTTTATATATTTTCCTGGCCTCTGATGGGCTTACAGATTGCTTCCATCACTCTATATAAGACTGAGTCAGCCATATCGTATTATAGAGTAGGGGAAAGAACAATACTACTTATACAAATTGAAGATAGGTATTCAAGTAAGACAACTAAAGACCAATTTCATATAAGATTAGTTTACACTAATAGCTTATTTGCAAGTCATATCATGTTTAGAAAAGAAAAGAAGAGAAATAAGAGTAACAAGTAAGTAACCTGAATAATGAGGCTCAGATCAATAGAATTGAAATGAGTTGTACAAGTAAATAAATATTTCAAGTTTCATATAATATTGTTTTCTCTAAATACTACTTGAAATATAAAATATTGAATCATAAATCTTAGCACAATCTTAATAAGTACCATTTGTTATATAAATTTTAATGCTACAGAATTCTGATTTAATTCTAGCAAGTATATACATTAAAGTTGCAACAGGGACTTCCTCAGGTTGATGGTCTCTAAGGATGCAACTGGACCAAACTTGGAATCTCTCAAATACAGCTCTTGCAAAATGTAAGGAATAAAAGTAAACAGTAAAACTTAATATTGTCAAGCTCTGGCATATTTCAATTAGGGTCTCCCAAGATAATATTGATTCTCTCAGGGTAGAGGGGTTCTTGTATAATTCTTAAGGCCCTGTTCGGTTGGAACGGAAGGATGGTCAACCTTTCCGTTGAGAAACGGTATGATCTGTAGAAACGGTCAACTGTTCGTTGCTATGAGGGAAACTTTTCATGGTAACAAAACAAACACCTTATTGCCCTATGAAAGTTTTCTTGTATTCATCAGTATTAAAAATAATTAAGCTACAATTTGATAACAGTTTTCATGTGGCATTTCTACAAAGCAACAATAGTATTATGGGTGTTGTTGAATGCTAAGGTGACCATTCTGGAACGGCTGTTTTGAAAGTGAAGGGTTTTGCCAAACGCTAGTTCCGTTTGCAAATTTTGGAACGGAAGGGGAACGGAAGGGAACGGTCATTTGTATGGGGGAACAGAAGGCAACTGTTCCAACCGAACAGGGCCTAAGTTGTTAGACTTATAGCAAATCCTTTACTATCAGATTACCCGGACCAACATGAGTATGCCCTTCTCTGTAAGGGTTGTCCAGCAACATTACCATGTTCTTGAAGGGTCTAAGGTGTCATTGCACTCTAGCAGTAATCTGTCATATGTATATCAGTTCCTGCGAGGTGTGTAGCAATGCACCTGTAGGAGAGAAAGCTTCTGCATAGTAATGTCTCGCCAGTGCCTAACTGTCGAGATGCCTAGAAAAGCTAACTAAATAGCTCTCATCCCATGTGCAATGATCCATGCAAGCACCCGTAGATATCAGGTGTCTTCCGGTTACGTTCTATGTAGCTATCTCTCTTGATTGCAAACTTAGAAGGTCTACGATGCTCATACGGAGAGCTGCCATAGTGGCAGAACATGTGGGCACTATCCATGGTCCCTTATACCTGACACACCACTTACTATAACAAGTATCATGCTATTAGAGTGCTCAAACAACCTACAAAGAGCCTACAACAAAGGGGCATGTGTAGGCATGATTGGCGTAAAATCTTCTCTGATATCATTGGTACTACCTGTGACTACTCAGGAGACACTTCCAGATAGCGCACGCTAAATCCCTCAGTTTTGGCCTATTTTAGTTCCTTCTATTTGAACAAGGTACTTGACCTTCTCACCTTGGTCTTCTTATATATCCTGCAAACAGGCACTGGTTGGACAGACAGCAGCGAGGTATATAGTGTTATAGATATGTCTTCATAGACTCCACTAAACTAATAAAAGGGCAACTCTGCCTGTTTTAGCCCATGACGCCTAGGGCGAATCCTGGGGCCACAGGTGGCTCTTATGAATAACTCTGCCAAGTTATAGTATGTTTGGAGTACTATAGCTCCTCCTGTAGTCTTCTGATCAGTGTGGAAGCAAGTGCTAGTTTATTATCATTATATAACAAACAATCCTAATATTTCCTAGAATTCCTCCCAGAACGTATCCGACGGAAGCTAGGGTAATAGTGTCTCCAAGGTAGGGTAAGTATGTCTATGGTAACATGAAACTGGTCTCTATAGTAGAGTAACATAACTCTCCCAAACAGGTGTAACGGACAGGGTCTGAGGGTCAGGTAGGCGAAGGCACACCATGATGAGGACAGGCAGGATTCTGGAGCCGAGGTCTAGGTATGGGGGTACAACCGAAGTAAGTTGTACGAGGTTCGGGGTTCTGGGGCTCGGGGTCAGGATTCAGAGGTTCAAGAGGACGCCAGACAGTAGAGGGTGTAATTCCTAGGTACAGGTGTCGGAATAATATCTGAGTTTATTTATACTCGTCGCGCCAAAACATGGCTTATGATGGAGCGCCCCCCCAACGGGACCTTAGCGCTGGCCGGGATCCACCGATGGGACTGGGGCCCTGCTACCCCCGCAAAATACAGGCACCTAAATACAAGATACCGATCCTCCGGCCCCATACCGTCAACCACTCCGGTGAGCGAGCACCAACACCAAAGCTAAAGTACAAGTCCATCAACAGTCCAGCACCCATCCACCCCACCTATCCAGGCCACGGAAATCCCAGCACAATCAATAAATCACTACCACCGGCAGTCTGGTCTCGCACCTCTTATCCTCATAAAAATCATAACAAAATAAATCCACCATCATCAACCCCACCTGGCACCCAAGAAAGCGTTTCAGCACTGTCCCTCAAAAGGGCCATGACAGAGGGGTGGTACAAAGCCAGTCTCCCCTAAGCAATCAGTTGAGGCAGGCACAAAACCACACCCCTTGCACCGTAATAGCCAACCCAAGAAACCCCTAGGGCATCATTGTAATAGGTATCCCAACCTATGTAGAGCCAACCATGTCCACCTCTTCTTCATGTTCCTCCGCATCCTCAAACTCTTGGGTAGCTGGACGGGGGCGAGAAGGGCAGACAGGCGAGTGGGATTCGTGTGGGCCATCACAGTTCACACACCTGGGTGTGGTATGGCTGCAGGGACGGCCACGAAGGCGGCAGGTAGCGGTGGGGCAGGAGTGATCCCCAGTAGACTGAGGGAGAAGGCACCAGCGGCAGGAAGCAGGTGAGGTGCATTTAATGCTGTGGTGGCCAAACTTGTGGCAGTTGGCACACTGAGTATATTTGTTGAAGCGGAGGCAGCGCTCGGTACGGTAGGTGTTGGAAAAGGCAGAGAGGCGTTTGCCGATGAAGGAGGGGGCCTTGGGTCCAGTGATGGAAATAACAACAGTTGATGCGAGTTTTCTGATGCGTGTTATATCTGAGGTAAGCCACCTAGGCTGTTCAGTAAGAGACAAGCCTGAGTTAAAGGTGGTGAGTTCTTGGGCAAGCGATGTCAGAGGAGTGGTGGTAGAGATGCCATGTACTAGAAGCCGGGTGGCAGGAGTATCGAGATGGACGGTAGAGGCACCTGGAATGA